AGTATTTTTGCAAGTCACAGCCCTTCAAAAATTGCCAAAACCTTGACATGCTGTAATGATCAATTTCTGTGGTCAATTTCATCTCCAGATGTACTGATCTTTTGTATTCTATGTTCAGCCTGTTCCTTTAATTTTTCAGAGCAACCATAGCAGAAGTATGACTTAAAGGGTCAAACCTAAGTAGAGTCCAGCCTATTTTTTCCCTCTTCTGTCCTGGCTTTCCAGACCTTGATGGGTAGTACATACATGAAAGCCAATCCCTAGCTTTTGTGTTTTAACCATTTTATTTTTCTAACTAAAAGACAGCATATATTGTATTTATCAATATAATGAGAACACACTGTGTAGCATTCATGCTTCTCTGGCAAGCAGGCTTCCCTGTCTGCTCTTTCTTTTCCTTTGGTTTTTGTAGGGTTTGTGTCAATGTAGGTGGTGATGCCTGCTCAAACATCATGGTCATAGTTAGTAATGGTCCACAAGGGTGTGCCTTTTTGTTTCTTCTCATTTGTGGATTTTAGCTATATCCAATTAACTGTTATATATAATAGTTCCAGCACCCCACATATACGTATATTCTGAATTCCCTGCCTATGCTCTGCTGTAGGTGGAGGGGGGTGAAAAAGTGAAGACTTTCATCAGAGTAGGAACTGGGTATTGAATAAATACCCCCAGGTTCATTTTTAACAACAGCAACAAAAAAGACAGTGATTGCAGGTAATTAGTAGCCTTTTGGTGTTATTATTCTGATATTATTGTTTTTATTCTATTAAAATGAAACTGAATTTGCCTTCTCTTTGAATGAAAATTTTTTTTCTTTTTGGAAAGTTTCAATAGTGATGAGAAGAAAACGTGGTCTTTGGATAGGAGGAGAGGAAAATTTTTGTTTAACAGGTAGGTTAGTACAAATTTCAAAGGACAAATAATGAAAAATCACTTTAAATCAAGTTCAGGATATTATAGTAGTTGATTTGAGGGGGGGAGTTCTCTCAATAGATGAGAAAATACTTAGAAATTTCTGTTTCTAAGAAATATGAGTCTGGTTAGTAATGGATTAGAACTCACTGAATAAAATAAGCCATGTTAGTCTATATCGACCTAAATAAATAAATGAATAAACAAATACATGAGGGATAAGGGACAACTCTTACTTATAATAGAATTCTAATTAATAAATGCAGAAATGAATGATGGAAATAGAAAATCATTATTAAGCAAGTAACACAGTGATAATTATTATAGGCAAGAATTATTGATAGATACAAAAATAAGTGGGAAAACGTATGATGAAAAACAGTGTATTTGCAGAATCTCAAAATATCTCACTACAGGATACTTGCTGGTTACAAAGGGTAGAGAAATCTGGCAGATATCACCTTAATCAAGTTAAAAAGTTAACATCGACAGTAATGAGACAGATTGTCCTCATGTATCTCCTGATGACGCAACATCACTTCTGTGATATTCTTGCTAAAAATGCAGAGCCTCAGCCTAATCATGAGAAGGCATCAGACAAACCCACATTGGAGAACATTGTACAAAATAAGTGACCTGGACTCTTCAAACATGTCAAGGTCATAAGAGCCAAAAACAGGCTGAGGAACTTCCATAGACTGGAGAAGGCTAAGGAGACGTGGCAACTAAATGCAAGGTGGTATCCTGAATTGGATCTTGGACTGAAAAAAAAAAAGACATTAGTGGGACAATTTGTGAAGTTTGAATATGGACTACAGATTAATTATTTTGTATCAATGTAAATTTTATTATTTTAATAATTAACTATGGTTATGTAAGGTGTTCCCATTAGAAGTTGGGGGAATGGCATTTAGGAACTTTATACAATTTTTTGCAACTTTTTGTAAGTCTAAAATTATTTCAAAATAAAAAGGTGTCTTGGTGTGGTTTTGAATGATTTGGAATTTGTTTGTTGGCAGGAAGAGGATAATTGAATACATAAGACACCTCATTATATATAATCTCTTTTATTATTCTCTAGGATTTTCAGTTTTGCAATCAATCTTAGTGTCCTTTTGATTTGTTTCTTTTTTCTAAGCAGTAGCCCCTTAACCTGTGGGCTGATTGAACCTTCAGTAATCATCCTAACACATTTATTTCAATTTTATAATTGTAAAGACCTCGAGCAATAATAACTTAGCTCCAAATAGTAACAGAACCAGGAATTTAATACTCTGGATCAGCTTTTTTTTTTTTTTTTTTAACTGGGTTCAGCTTTCTCTCATCTAAAGTCAAAGTATATAAAAATATTTCAGAAAATTACCTCTAATCTATGAAATCTAAAAAATGATAAGATCAAGGAATAGATCTTTTTCTAAACTTATATGTACATATTGCCTCCTGAGTAACTTAAGTTTCTTGAAGTCAGCTTTGGTATCTCCGTCCTCTTTTGTATCCCAAGCTTCCAGCCAATGCTTTGCCTGTAATAGACTCTCAATGAGTATATGGAAAAGAAGTCCAGGAGGTAGGGGCTGGAGAGTAGACTGGTGTGTTTTGTGTTAACTTTATTCCAAAAGGATCAAACAGTGAGTGTGATGGAACTAACTTTTTGAGTGAGTGAGAAGTGATGGAACTAACTTTTTTGATCACACATTTCAATAGAAAAATTGATATACCATATTAAGACCTAATTCCATACAAACCTTTGAGCTATAAAATAATAAATAGGAGATACAAGGTAGAGTAAGAGACAAAAAGTTAGAGACCTCTGACTTCCCTGTTGGCAGTAATGTGTCCTCGGATGAAATTTATCTTTCTAATTTAAAATTAACTTCCATCACTATCATTGTTGACTTTTTACTGCATTAATTTCTGTCCTTTTTCTCATTAGAATTTCATTTGTGTCTAAAATATCTCCTGTTTGCTTTGTCTTCCATCAACTCCGTTGGACTTAGCTGTTATATAAATTGCTTGTCATTGAAAAAAATCATAATTTTTAGGGGTTGCCTTTCAGGGGTTTGAAGAAGGTCTTCATCAGCCCAGAAACTATTTTAGGTGGTGGCAGTTAGAGTACAAACAAGACTGTCCCATAGAATCAAAGACCTCAAGTAGCTTCTTTTGGGGGGGGGGGGGCGTGTTGTTAAAAATAGATTTCTAGAATATCACTGAGGTCTCTCAGGCCCAGATGATATCATTCCCCAAGTACCATTGGCCCAAAAGTTTATGTCGTATTAGAGTATTTGTCCTCCACCTGCAGTGAATCAGTGACTAAGTCAAGAATTATACTCTGATTCTTAATGCCTCCGATCTCTTCACGAGCCTGTACCTTCTGTCTCCAACTCTGCATTTTATTTGAGACACCTTTGTCTTTCAGGAAAGATGTCCACATAGTATTATAACAGATGAAACAAAACTGGCTTTCAGTATGAGAAAAGCCTAGCCATACTTTTAAAAAAATTATGGTAAAATACACATCATGTAAAATTAACCATGATTTTTTTTTCCAGTGATTGCTAAGGAGCTTTTATTTAAGGTGCCAGATGAAAATGCAACATTTTCCCCCAACTGGAAAAAATGTTATAACTAAATTTACATTTTAGGAGATTTTACTTGGCACATAGAAGACTGAACTTGCCCATTTTGTGGTTCTTCACACATTTTAGCTAACTTAGTTTAATTCATTTGCAAAATAAACAAGTTGAAATTTTTTGTGAGGGGGAGAATTGTTTTCATTCCCTTTTAAAATATATTTGTTAAATAACATTTTAGATGCCTCATTTTTAAGGGTTTTCTCAAAGCAGACTTCCTTCCATTAGTTGCAAGAACTTTCATCTAGATATATTTTATACCAAAAATATGTCATGTTTTACAGCTGGAATTGCCAAGGCTAAGACTGTGTCCTTTATCAACTTGCCGAATGTCTGAAAACCTAATCTAAAGTCCTTTGATTTTCTCAGTTACAAGTCTTTTAAGCAATGTCAATATATTTATATGTTGACGTCAGTGGAATTATTATTTTTAGAATGCCAGTTTAAGAGCAGTTAGCTTTTCCTGCATCTGCCTTTGAAATGCAATTTAAAAATGATTAATCTGAAATGTCATTTAGTTAGATGTGAATCACTGTTTTTTCCTAGTGGCATCTGAAATGGAAGTGGGAGTCTAGCCACAAGAAATATCTCAGGCATTTCTTTTCTACCAGGGCATGGATGGCAATGAATGATCACCAAAGACCCCATGAGGTGATTTTTGTCAGAAGAAATGATTTTTCTGTTGCTTAGAAAGTACTCTTTCCTAGGTGATTAATGAAGTTCTCATTTTTCCTGAGACAGTATCTACCTGATCTTAGTCTTAGTCTTAGTTCTTAGATTAGAACTATAATCTTTTTTTGTTGTTAGTCACCCCAGCTACTCCCTACACTTGAATCTTCAGGCTTTGTTTAAAGAATGATGTCCAGTAGAACTATAATCTTTTAAAAATGTCTTAAGGGCTTCCCTGGTGGCGCAGTGGTTGAGAGTCCACCTGCCGATGCAGGGAACACGGGTTCGTGCCCCGGTCCGGGAAGATCCCACATGCCGCGGAGCGGCTGGGCCCGTGAGCCATGGCCGCTGAGCCTGCGTTTCCAGAGCCTGTGCTCTGCAACGGGAGAGGCCACAACAGTGAGAGGCCGCGTACCGCAAAAAAATAAATAAAAATAAAAATGTCTTAAAAGAGAAGAGGAGTATCATTTGTATACGTGCCCAGATAATTTGGGAAGTCCAAAAATTTGGTTGTCTGGTCCTGTTAGATGCTGATAAAAGAACAGGAGGTGATCACTGAGTTCTGTAACTGATGCCTTGAGCAGCGAATCCTAGCCATGGCAGAGGACTGGGGATGATTTGGGAATTGCTGCTTCTGTTACTGCATGAACAGTATAAGGAAAAAGAAGTTTGTGGACAGCTGGTATAGAGAGGATACAGTAAGCCAAACAAGAAAAAGGGATCATAAAAAGACTGGTAACTCAGGGCTCTGTGATGACTGAAATCTCACCTCTTAAATGTCTCTGCTTTCAGATTGCCTGTTTGGTATCTGTGGATCAGTTTCAGCTTTATCAGCGGTTAAAATCTGAACGAGGTATGTAAACACTCTTCTTTTTATCCTGATGGTGAATGTGGTTTTACATGTGACCTCTTAATCCTAACCTGTGTGGAAGATTAAGGCAGCTGTGAGCTGTCAGAAAAGCCACCAGGGTACTCAGAAAAAGACAAACGGTAATTGCAACATAAAATTTCAACTTTCTCAGCCACAGCCAGGAAAAAAAAAATGCAGACTGGCAGGAAACAGAACTTTCCTTATGTTGGTTGTTTTGTATTTTTAATTGGGCTCACGTGAGAGAAGTTCTGCAAAAGTTGGGTAGTTTCACAATAACAGTACGACAAAGAAAGTGACCCTCAAAATGGGTTTTACCACCAACTTCCCTGCTCTTGAAGATCACTTCAAAACATTCATCCATCCAAACATTTTCACTGCTCATTGTAATAGTCACCGTTTGTTCTTGTTCAGTCAGAGTGATGGCTGAGTAATCATTCTAATGCTATTTCCAATGTATTGGACTAATTTTCTTTCTGACTTTAGACTTGGGGTAATTTATATAGCTTTTCTATTTGTACTGCCTTTTTATCTGTAGGAATTATTTTTTGGTGTACTTTTCCATATCTGAGAAGTAGAAGAAAATTGTTTCCTCTGGAACTCATAGGCCTCGTTGAGTATATAAAATCAACTCTAATCTAGCATGAATGTACAGTTTTCTGATTGCTACCTTTTTAATCTGGATTAATAAAGTCTAGCGGTAAGAGGGTAGGGGAAGAAATGAACATTTTTTTTTAATGTGCCAGTAAATTTGGTAAACAATTTATCTCATTTAATTTTTGCAATTACCCTGACAGATAATTCTTACATGAAAAAATAAAAAAGAGCATGTGGAGCATAAAGGGGGTAAGAATAGGAATATTCACAGGAGAATCGCAGGATGACGTTCACTACCTTTGACCAAAGTTTGGTTCAGTCTCACAGGCTTATTTTTTTTCAGCAAGCCAAAAGCAGATTCATCTCTCATGGGTATATTATTTAACTAAATTTATAAGACTGATATATGGAGTTTATTTAAAAATTCTTGGACTACATTACTTGAATTACATTTTTGCCCTATAGGAAGATGCAAAAAGGATGTTGTGGAACATAGAATCAGAACCAGAAGAGTCAAATGAATTTTAGGTTTAATGGACGAAGACATAGCCTGATACGCCATCTACACTGTCCTGTGTAGATTCTGAGCTAACTAGAGGAATTAATGATGGGGTAGTTTATATTGGCCCTCCCTAATCCATCCACGTGGGCTGATTAGGTTGAGCATTATAACATCAGATGCTGGTGAATGGTATCAGACATCTGCCCTGCCATTTTCCCATTTTATCCCAATATCCTCCATTATAAAAATAAATTACTGCTGGAACATAGGCATTAACCCTGTGGATGGATGTGGCTGGTAGCAGTGCCATGATTTGAGGGCTCTTACCTGGAGGAAGTCAAAGGAGTTAGGCTGGATTTTCAGACTTCTTAAATGGTGAGACCTGTCAATCTCACCAGTCCCACTCAGTAACCAGGGCTCAGCCCGTTTATAGGGTTCCCTTGCCCCAGATGCATCTCTCCTCCAGACCATCGACCTCCTCCCCACCCACACATTGCCCCATCTTGTCAGTAGCAGGCCTTATTCCTCATTGTTTACAAACATTTTATTAAATAAAATGTCTTTTGCAATTAATTAGACAGATTCTAATAGTATCAGGAATTAAAACTTTCTGTGAGTTGGTTCTCACTGATGAATATGAATTTTTAGTGTATTCTAAAAATAGTGGCTAAGAGCCTGTGTGGGGATGCAGGCTCCACCCCTTACTAGCTGTGTGACCTTAATTTCTGTACCTCAATTTTTCACCTGTAAAATGTGGATATTAATAGTCCCTATACCACGGGGTTCAGATGAGGATTAAATGAATTAATACATATAAAACACCTCCTTGAGTACTTCCTGTGTCTCAGTGTTCAAAATATTAGGTTGTTGGTAATAAAAATGCTAATAACTTAAAGTATATTCACTGTTCTGCTTCTGTTCCCTTTTTTCTAAGATGAGACAATCATAACATTCTCTAGGAGATATCCTCATATTGAAATAGATGTTATGATTGTCTTGTCAATGGGATGAGAACACTTGAAATTAATTGGCCACATCCATTTTTTTTGGTATTGTACATTCTGTGAGTTTGGAAACATTTATGATGATATGTATCTACCAATACAGCATCATACAGAGTAGTTTCACTGCCCTGAAAATCCTCTGTGCTCTGCCTGTTTGTCCCTTCCTCCCCCTTAACCCCTGGCAACCACTGATCTTTTTACTGTCTTCATAATTTTGCCCTTTCCAGAATGTTATATAATTGCAATCAAACAGTATGTAGCCTTCTCAGATTGGCTTCTTTCGCTTAGTAATATGCAGGTAAGTGCCCTATCCATCTTTACAATAGGAATAGCCTTGTCATATGCGAGGTGCACATGGAAGATTATTGGCCAGGACTCTTACTCTGCCCCGGATAGTGCTTGGATAGATGCTACCACACTTTGCCTTGTGACTTGGACTTTTCGAGGTTCTTGTTTTCAACCCTACTTCTGACTGTCTTATTTCTTCATTAGATGTGATAATATATTCAGTCTGGTTACAAGTTAAGCAGGTTTTGGAGTCAGTCTTTTTTTATAGGTGGTCTTCCATATATCTGATGCATTATAGATCAAATAGTTTTACTCATACATGGAATTTATTTTTTCTCTCAAGTTCTAGGCAGATGCCCCATACAGATGCCATGAATTGACAACTGATTTTATTATTCATATTTTATAGATGAAGAAACTGAAAACTGGAGAGATTGAGACTTGCTTAGGACCACATAGGTGTGTCCAAGCTTCCTCATCTATAAAATGTTTTGAATTCTATAATTTTTTATTGTAAAATAAATACAACATAAAATTTACCACTTCACCATCTTAGGTGTACAATTCAATGGCATTAAGAACATTCACGATGCTGTGCGGCCATCACCACCATCCACTTGCTAAACTTTTGTCACCCTAAGCAGAAAACCTATAACAATTAAACAATAATTTTCCATTCCCCTCTTCTCCCAGCCCCTGATAACCTCTAATCTACTTTCTAGCCTGTGAATTTGCAGTCTAGACATTTCATATAAGTGGAATCATACAGTATTTTCCTTTTGTGTCTGGCTTATTTCACTTAGTATAATGTTTTGAAGGTTCATCCACGTTGTAGCATGTATCAGAACTTCTTTTTATGGCTAAATAATATTCCATTGTGTACATATACCACATTTTGTTTATCCATTCATCTATTGATGGACATTTGGCTTGTTTCCACCTTTTGGTTGTTGCAAATAATGCTACAGTGAACATTGGGGTACAATCCCTACTTTCGATTCTTTTGGGTACGTAGCTAGCAGTGGAATTGCTGGGTCATATGGCAATTCTATGTTTAGTTTTTGAGGAACTGCCAAACTGTAAAACTCTGTAATTTAATTAGACATTTATACTATTGTAAAGGATGGAAGTATTTTTTAATTTATTTTTTATTTAAAAAGATTTTTTTGTCTGCATTGGTTCTTTGTTGCTGCATGTGTGCTTTCTCTAGTTGCAGCGAGTGGAGGCTACTCTTTGTTGTGGTGCACAGGCTTCTCATTGCGGTGACTTCTCTTGTTGCAGAGCACGGGCTCTAGGCGTGCAGGCTTCAGTAGTTGCAGCACGTGTTCTCTAGGCACGGCACGTGGGCCCTAGAGCGCACGGGCATCAGTAGTTGCGGTGTGTGGGCTCAGTCGCTGTGGCTCGCGGGCTCTAGAGCACATGGGCTTAGTTGCCCCATGGCATGTGGGATCTTCCTGGACCAGGGCTCGAACCCGTGTCCCCTGCATTGGCAGGCAGATTCTTAACCATTGCACCACCAAGGTAGTCCCGTATGGAAGTATTTTAAATTTGGAAATTTGTTAAATCTGATGATGATTTGGTTCAACTTCCTCATTTTATAAAAAAGGAAACTGAGACCCAGAGACGTTTTGATCTTAGGTGATTTTGGAAGGCAATTTGTACTCATGTAATTCTTCCTCAGCATCCATTATAAATAATTATTATTAGAAAATAGACATTCCAAGTAAGAATAAGTTTAATAACATTCCAAGTAAGAATAATTCTTAATTCCAAGTAAGAATTAAGTAAATGCAGTTTACTTGATAGGAATAATCTTTATCTAAATTGTATACCTCCGTTTTACATAATAGACTTCGTATTCACCTCTAACTCAACACTTACCAGCTAGGTGACTTTGAGGTCTATGTCATGAAAATATTTTATGTGGAACTCTTTAAGAGGGGATCTTGAGATGTATTAAATACTAATATTGTGAATGGGTTAAATGACTAACTGGTGGAAACTAAAACTCATTGGCTGGACTCAGATAGAATTGGAGAGATTGTTTTTACTCTGAAAAAAATGTAGAATCAGATTAGTGGCAGCTCTATATCTTAGTAAGAAAAATTATCATTAGTCTTGTCCAATTCTTATTGCCTACCAAGTTCTTTTTTAGTTTTTAGTTTGTCATCCAGTGTTTTAGTTTTCTTCTACATTATGTTACATATATGATTAGCTTGTCTTCTGTGTCTTTTTTTCATCTGCATCTTTGTGGGGAAGATCTTTTGAACAGAAATGGTCCCAAATCACCACTCTGTTTACACAAAGCAGAGAAGTGTCAACTTGGCATTGATTCTGTGGATTCTGTGAATCCACTTTTCATCCATCTGTGATTTTTCCATTGGCTACTGCTGTGTTTGTGGGTTTTCTGTGTCTGTCTTCCAGTATTAACAAAGAAAAGGGAATACTGAGTTTGGCATGTGTTAGTGATTATTGCTTTACTCTCTTCTGGTTCTCAAAGCACATGTCTGATTATTAAGGCTAGAATTTTGTTTGTCTCTTGTTTCCAGAACCTACTTTTTCAAATTAGTTTTTTGGAAAGTTGAGTTAAGATT